TACCATTTGAACTTTGGGCAAATAACGGATATTCCAAAGATCATCCCGCCATCGATTGTGACATTTTTTTCCACCAACTGGTTGATTGTTCAATTCTTGAGCCACCCGTCTTGCGATACTCTTCCTCTCGAATTCAACCCAACCATCAACAAATACAGATCGATTTGAGCCCCCCGCCAGAATGCGACTTTTTCGACGAACTAAAAACGAAAAAAAAGACACGGGATAGAAAAACAGATAAATTTAGAAGCCTCATAACGCGAACTTCTTGACGCGGCTACTCCTGAGTTGCAACACACACCTTGATCTTCGGGTGTCAAATAGATTCTACCAACTTCACCGAATTGACTCATCAATTCCCTTAATGTTGAGATGTTCATCATGGGTGGAATACGTGAGAGATACACCACACCCCTCTTCCGCGCTTTAGGAGAGCTCTCATTGTCTCCATTCCTTTCCTCGCCTATTAAATCTCCATCAGTTGGATGGATTTGCATCGATACATTCTTCCCAATTGTCATCTTCTGGTTGGTTCTCTAAGATCTCCTTTCCACTTGCCATTGTTTTGGACCAGGACCTGCAGCTTTTTCAGTTTCAGTCCTTCACCCCCGAATGTTTATCCCGCCACCTCCACAACTGGAGGATGGATACCGCAAATCATCGTGAGTCGCCAGATACTCTTCATTATAGACATGCGTCTTCATTGGTCCATCATGTCTGTATTGAAGTCCGTGATACCTTCGCAGGATTCGACGTTAATAATTACTTCAGCCGGCTACGCGAATCAGTTTCTCGCTATGCCGCAAAGAGCCCTCCAACAGAGTCAGCAAGGTGAGCTTCTCATTCCACACTATATTTACACCAGATCTTTAAATGAATAGCTTGCTCAAATATATGACTTTCTTCTCAGAGCCGTCGCTGCTTTCAATGTATTACAAGGGCCATCCCTGTGCCCTCCTGCTATTCAGTCAACTTTGTTTATTGGGCTGCCTGAAGATGCTGTCTCCTTGCGAGCGCTCTATTGGAAGGTGACGACGGATCACGAAACATCAAATTGGTATTGTCTGTTTCAGCTTCTTCTCCGTTATCTTCCATGCAACAAATCCGATTGGCCAACTGTGATGGCAGAGAAACGGTGAGACCGTCTTGATGTCTTCCTGACTCTTCCATCTCGTGCAGCACAGAGTACTATTCTTATGTCGAGCGTTTTGTGAGGGAACCAGAGCACATACCCCGTCTCACCGAAGTCACTCAAGGGATCCTCAACCCCCGAGCAGATGCACAACTAAGGAAGTCACCTGAACATGTTTCTGTTCCCGATGCGCCTATCGACCTCCTGAGTGGAGATCTTCCAATTTTTGATGAAAATATCGAGAAGCGGGTTGTGGGCTCACAGGGTGGTTCCTCATTTGGTTCCACGCAACGGTCTGGGTCTAGCGGTTTGGGACTCTCTAAAGATGTCACAACAGTCGATGTGAGATTCAATTAAGATCATGCACACGCAATTTAATCTTGCACTGCGCGTTAATGAGATTCGACCATTCACTATTAATTTGACCTAAATATTGGCATCAGAAATTATAAACTCTATAGAGGTCTCTTCTCTCCCTTAGCCTTTGAGAGCGTCGTTAAAAAGGCCAACCTCTTTCGTTGATATCAATGAGTTACAAAATAGTTTACCGGGGGACATAACGAATGAAATAGTTGAAAATGATTTTGAAGTCTTTGATCAAATTAATAAAGACGCCTTCAGGTGAGATGGAAATTAAGTGAAGCCATAGAAGCAACAATAATTGGATCATCATTCTTTGGATGTAAAATGATCTAAGAAGACAATAACTTCACTTCGAGAGAATCTATTGCATCAGAAGAACTTCCTTGTAGATAGTTGTATTAATCACCAAAGACTTGTGATGATAGGATCCATCGATCTGAATATCATGTTAATATACTTTGACAGATGGAATGTGTTAGCTATCCAGCTTTGATGTCACGCTTTGTGTGTCCGTCTTTTCATCAGGACGAGGGCTGAAGTGTCTCTTTTTGGTTCCCCACTTCCATCCTATAAAATGGAACAGCGGTTGCCTTCTAATCCTCAGAATGTACGTCTGAGTAGTCTTCACAAGAACTAACTGATGGAGCTGCAATTGACTGCTGCAATTGACTTGTTAACCAAACGATTTGTAGAGCATGTGCTGGCTGTCATTCGTGTTCTTATCTTTTGTAGAACTTCCATCGAACAGTCGATATTGTTCATCCTCGACTCCACGTTGACGTTCTTGGTAGAATTTTATTTATCTATTCGAAGTTACATCCTTCTGTCAAGTAAGATTAATATACAAACACATATTTTATCGAAGACGATATATTTTCCACATACTGGAGAGTATCTGTAGATTTCACTGCAATCCATAGGAATCAATGTTGGGAATCTCGTTGTTTAGCATCTTGCATGTTCGATGATTGTATATTCGTTCGATGATTGTATATTCGTTCGATGATTGTATATTCGTTCGATGATTATATATTCGAATAATGTCTTACTGATTGTTGATTGTGATTCTTCTTGATTGTGATTTTCAGATACGTTCAAGGAATGAACGAACTTCTAGCTCCGATATTCTTTGTTGTCTTTTCTGATCCTTTATTGGAAGACGTCGAACAAGTGAGATCAATTGGACTTGTCCCAATCAGTTTTTTTCTTTTTGATCAAAGAATTGATTTTGATTGTTTTCTTGATTGTTTATTTTCTTCCCATCAGGCTGAGGCTGATGCTTTCTACTGTTTCACTTCTTTGCTCCAAATGAATGGACAATTTGAATTATTCTGTAGGTGAGATCCTCCCATACGATTAAACTTGCTTGAGTCCCACGGCAGTCTACTCTTGATGAACATTTCTCAGAATTTTCGACAAGGATCGTCTCGGCGTTTTGGGACGGGTTGACCATTTGAGCTCTTTGTTGGAGCATCAGGTTCGTCCCTCATCATCAATTTTGTCTTCTGTAATTTCCATTCACAGGATCCTCAAATCGCGTCGCATTTTTTCGAGCATGAGCCTCGATGTTCAATTCTTCGCCTTACGCTGGATCCTTCTCCTGTTGACTCAAGTATTTTCCTTAGCCGACACGTTGCGACTTTGGGACAGTCTCCTTGCTGATGGATACGATGAGTCACACTCCCACTCTCCACTTCTTTACTTCATTTGCTTGGCGATCCTCGAAGAAGTGAGTTCATCATCTTTCGACCGCGTGTTTATCATCTTTCGACCGCATGCTCTAGCGAATGCAAGCGTCAAGGGCTCTTTTCATCATTCGTTTCCTCCTTCAGTTGCGAGATGATTTGCTGGCGTCAGACTTTTCTGCATGCATGCATATTTTGCAAAATCTTCCCCCGATGAACCCCGAGGGTCTCGTAGCAAGAGCTGTGACACTCAGGTAATCGATCACAATCCAGACAATCACTTTTTATGAATGAAAGATTCAAAGAATAATTCCATAGCGCCAACAACCATATCAACAACAACATTTCCTGTCTGTCGCTTCTCTTCAGGCAATCAATTGACTCTTCCAGAATCTCTTCCACGAAGAAGACTTTATCAAGAGCTCTTGAGAATGATACAGTCAATCGCGAAATGCTCGTCGGGAAAGTGAAACGCTATTATAATGATTTTCTCAAATCAAATGAGGCAAAGGAAGTCAAAGAACTAGCGGCGAATTTTGGTTCAGCTGGCGGTAAGCGTGTATTGATATCACTGTTGATTTTATATAAATTGAATTGGACGATAAGACTCTATCGGCTTCTTTGATAGAACACTCAGAAAAGTGTTCATTCTTTGTCATCGAGATTATCTTCTCTTTGTAATTATCTTCTCTTTGTAATTATCTTCTCTTTGTAATTATCTTCTCTTTGTAATTATCTTCTCTTTGTAATTATCTTCTCTTTGTAATTATCTTCTCTTTGTAATTATCTTCTCTTTGTAATTATCTTCTCTTTGTAATTATCTTCTCAGCTGATTATGCAAAGTCCGCGGTTAAGTCTGTGCACAACTGGTTCAATTCTTCCCAAATACTCCAAAATACAAATTTGGGACAATCAGAATCGATGGACGCTCCACCCAACAGACACGATCAACGACGACACTACTCTGTCAGTAGCCGTCAAGGCTCCACCCCAATGCCTGTTTATCCCGTCACTCCTCCAAATCATGCTGCTGCAGGGAGTGAAACTTTCTCCCCATCACAGCCCCTACCACCACCACCACCCCCCACCACCGCCTCCTTGTAAGCCCGACCGTCCACAACGGGACCTTTTCAAACCAGAGGACAGATCGCTCGATCTTTCTGATTCTTTCGTTCATCACGCGGATCTGCGTCGACAGTCGCAGATGCACGGAGTGAAACGTGGACATTCCCAAAGTGGAGGAAAGGTTTCCGTGAATCAAATGCAGTTCACTCCCAGCGATCATGGACCGCTTTAACGACCTTGTAGACAAATTAATAACAGTCAATTTTGGCTTATTTAAGCCTATTCTTGAGTGGAACACATTCCCCATCAATGTGTTCCCCATTATCAATGAACCTAAACTAGCAACATTTTCTGAGCTGTCACGAATAATGTATAGAATTAGTTTCTCTGAAGTACTGCTTCATTCCAGAAATCAACACTCGTTTGCACGACAACCACCTCAATGGAGACAATCAATATTGTTGATATTATTGATATTATTGATATTATTGATATTATTGCTTATTGCCTATTGCCTGTTTGAAACAGATCCACAGGAATGCCTTAATGCACAAATAATGGTGCGACTCTCATATTGCAGAAATGTGTTTTCATGTCGTTTAACTTCGATGGTCGGCTTCAACTATGAATGGTAGGGAAGCTTTCAAAGAGACCAGCGAGCCCCAACGGTTGCTGAAGCAAAGGTCGACGCGCAAAGCCTCAAGTCGCTCCTGCAACAGTTCCCCAACTCTTCAACGAGGAGGAAAGATTCTAGGTGCGCTCTGAAGTTCGATCTCTATGTGAATTATTTGCATGAATTGGTTTTTGTGATATTTTGTTGATAGACATCGTTGACTATGAAAGTGGAAATTCGATAGTCATATTTGGCGAAGGACTTGGATTGCATGAGGATCCTTTGGGGAGAAGAAGATCGCAGGGAAACGAAGATAATTCCCAAATTGGAGAATCAAGCATCGATCAATTTCTTCGTGCGGGATTGCGGGCGGATTACGTCAATGATTTGGGGTTTTGCTTGGGGGGTATGGATGACGCACTCACAATTTCATTGATCCGGAATGGATTTCTAGTTATCTTTCTAGTTATCTTTCTAGTTATCTTTCTAGTTATCTTTCTAGTTATCTTTCTAGTTATCTAGTTATCTTTCTAGTTATCTTTCTGGTTATCTTTCTTATCATTTGTGTTTCTGTAGGAATAAATGATTCCATCCAACTTCTGCAAACATCGCCATCTCAGGTTGCCGTTTCTCAGCTTTCGCAGCAGTGAGTCTGTAACAGATAGCGGTACTTGGGACATTTTCCGTGACATCTTTCCTTTATACTTATTGATATAATTGCATTTCTATAGACGCGTCATCAAGATATTCATTTTTGTAGTTTGGGAGGTTTGGTCGATTTTCTCGAAAATGAAGCCGCAAGGAAATTTTTATGGTCAATCCCTTCAGAACAATCACGAACACGATTAGGTACGTACATGAACGTTCCTCCAGATCGAATCTCCGGAACAACGCCACGGAACAAGCGATTCTGACGCTCTGTTCCTTCAGATGATGTTCTCCATCTGTGTTTTGCGACTTTGAAACTCAGAGAATCAAAATGTCCGTGGAACAACCAGATGGACCTTGAAGTCAGTGATTATCAACTAGAGCAACAAAAGAGTTATTATTATTCATAGTTGACAATCAACAAAAGAGTCATTATTATTCATAGTTGACAGTCAGATTTGCATCTCAGATTCTAACGCTTCTTTCTCGGCTTGCTTATGTCATGTGCGTCACGAAGAAGTTCAAGTCATCATCAGTAGAGTCCGCCAATTCCTTATCAGTGAGTTATTCATTCTACTGAACCGACAGATGTTTACTTTGTTTTATTAAAGAAAGTTACAAGAAACTGAAATCGCTGACATCCTCGTTCTTCAACAGATGGACGTTCCTGTTATTTTGACGATCTCAGGAATTCAATTACTTGTCAAACTTGTTCCGGCCATCGTTCGTTATCTTCTGGAGGCGACTTCACTTCTTCGTCTATCAGACGCAGCGTCATCAGAGCATGAAGTGGTTCAACCTGAAACAGCTGTTCGTAGTTCAGCCCGGACAAATGCGAGTCCGCCGGAACCACAACGAGAATTTCTGAAGCGACGGAAGGGGAAGGAGGAAGCGAAAGAGAGAAAGCCATTTATCAAGGAAGCAGACGATCGACCAGGGAATGAAAATTGTGTCTCGTCTGATTCATCACTTCCTGTTCGGCTCAGCGCTATTTTTGACGGTCTTCTGACGATTGGCAGATTTTCAACGGAATTGAAGTCTTTCATCGGGATGGGAAAAGACGGGAATCGCAAGTCCCAAATTGTGGAAAACAACGCAAGTTGCAAGTCCCAACACGTAGATGATAAAGTGGATAATGATGACGGTAATCCACTTATGTCATTGATGATAACATTCATTGGCTCGATCATTCGATACAATAGCGCAGAACTCTTCGAATTGAGCAATCGAATTCTTCCAATGATTGTAAAAGATTCAACTGCGATTCGCAATACATCCGAACATCGTTACTACAAATTACTTGTATCGAATGATTCTCTGTCCCAACATGAATCTCTGTCCCAACATGACAACAGTCTTTCTTCAGTTCTATCAACATGCATGCGCACGGTATTCTTGTGGTATGGATTCCTTGAGAGCGTGATTGTCCTCGACAAAACTCTTATCTTCGCGCTCAATTCGATTTCTAGAAACGACGAGTCCCAAATGTCTCTTCCGCTACAACATGAGAATCCATTAGTCAACGGGAATGTCATTGAGTCGATATTCAAACAATCGAAATCCATTCTGTCATCATCTGTACATTTCAGTCCGATCTCTCATTGTACGTTGGATCACGCGTGGACCAACGATTCTCCAACAATCACTGATTCGTTGCTCTTCCATTGTATTTCTCTAGTTTCCTATTTGGCTGATTTCTCGAATGTCTTTCAAGACCTTCTTTTATCGGATTGCGCACGCTCTTCAACGCTTGTCGACTCGGATACTTCTATAGTCTCCCATCTGTATTTGTTGTTGTATTCTATGCAGGCGTTCGAGTCTTTCGCCTTCCGCTCGGGATGTATCACAGCTCTTGTTCAGATCACTCGACTCGATGATTCAAATCTCATCAACAATCTTCGAAAAATTCAAGCACCAAGGAATCTCTCATCTGGCGTCTTTCCGTGGATTTCTTCTTCATCATCATCATCACCATCATCACCAACTCAGAGTTCTCCTCTCTACATTCTCGATTCGTTGGCACAATCGATTCCCGCGCTCCATCAAGAATATCAAATCTCGAGCGATCATCTGCGTGATCGATTGGAACTCGTCGCGGAACGGGCTGTGGCTGCGCGCGAGTCCCAGCGTCGACTTCTCCTTGTTCCGTCGGATACGCAACTAGAAGATTCTTTGCTAAGCGAGAAGGACCAACAGTTTTGGAAAAAAGTCCCTCAAGTTGCGATGAAACAACATCTTCTCTTATCCCAATTATCGATAATTGTGGGATTCATTGTGCGTGGAGATCCCGAAGTAAGAGAGATATCGCTGTAATGAATAGAACTGTATGAGGGAATAGAGAAATCAAGACAATCAACAATATTTTATTTATATCAAGAAGTGATTATCATTATCGATTTATCTATTAAATCCTCTTTATTTACAGATTTATCGAATTCACGTTGCGCCGTTTATTCAATCAGAAGATATTTTGATTGAACCTCTCAAATTATTTGTTCAATTTCAAGACGCTGCAGGGTTGCTCACTTGGCAATCTGTCCTAGCAACGCATCGAGCTTTGAAATCAATACGAGCCGCATTATCTCAGACAAGCGTGACGACTCACGAAGCAAGTGAAATCAGGGACGACGCATCGTACTTCAGTGCTCTGGAAAACAAACACATCGACACATGGAACTCTCCTTCCAGAATTACAAGAAAATCCTCAATTAGAACTAAAGATGCATTGTCAAGAAAACTCGCATTGAGTGAAGGCGACGGAATCAAAACGCCTCGAGATGGTTCGAGTGATGACTCTTGTGATCGAGTATCTTTCAGTGAAAAGAGAAGGAGGGAAATGAAGCATCGCAAGAGACCTTCAGATGAACAGGATGAAGTCCTTGTCTCGCCGATACGGCAAAGATTGAGTGACGGTCGTTGGATTCCTGGTGAACGACAAGTGGACAACGCGAACGACAATACGGCCAACGAAATCAACGCGACTTCACAAATTGACGCAAATCAGAAAGTTTCTCTATTAAGGAGAAGAAAAGTGTCGAAACCCCAAACGTCCATGTTAGAAAGTCCCAAGACATCTACGAGTCCCAAAACACCTGTTAGTTCCAAAACGGTGACGCCGGTCGTTAGATCTTCACTGGAGTCCACGCCACCACTGAGACGTCGCAAGAGAGGAGTTGGATAAACCTCTCATCCCTTTCCCTAGTTCTGTCCCTTTCCCTACTTTTTCTCTTTCCCTGATTTTATCTCTTTCCCTGATTTTATCTCCTTCCCTGATTTTATCTCTTTGCCTACTTTTACCACAACCGCTTATTCTCCTGTCTTACGCACAACACTCCCCTTGATTTGTGTGACTTGGTCGTTGCGCCAATTTTACGACTAACAGAAATCTGTGACAACGTGTCACAGATTCTTAAATCCCTCCGAGTCCCAAAATGCAGTCCCGAATTTTTTTCCACCGCAATGAATAACGAAAAAGATAATTTTCTGAGTGTGTCACGTCATGAACCTTCAGTTCGAAATTCGGAAGGTCGAGGCGTCGGCTATCGAATGCGCCGGAGTTCACTCCACTGCGGTGTTCCGAATAAATCGCCAGTCCGTCTGATTTCATCTCTTCTGAATAAGTCAAACGAAGAGAAACAGAATAATCCTCAATTTTCTGATAAATCCGAAACTCGTTCCCAAAAATTGCAACGACGGTATCATAATTGTGGCTTGTGTGGAACAGCTTTCTTTGCGTTGAAGGGAGCTGTTATCCCTCGTAAGTGTCGCGCATCCATTCCTATCATGATACATTCCTATCATCACGCATACATTCCCATCATCATACATTCCTATCATCACGAATACATTCCTATCATCACGCATACATTCCCATCATCATACATTCCTATCATCACACATACATTCCCACCATCATACATTCCTATCATCACGCATACATTCCCATCATCATACATTCCTATCATCACGCATACATTCCCACCATCATACATTCCTATCATCCTTTTTTGATATCAGGGGGTGTTTTTCGGAAAGGGAAAACGTGCTCGAATCGCTGAGGGACTTGCGTTCCTTATTTACGTCGCTGTTGTCTCAGTTTCCCTCTATTGGGTTGCTATTTATGCGTATCTCTATTTTAATACAGGTATGTCTTCATACGATGGCTTCATATTGTTCGCTGCATCCTCACCTGTATATCTTTCATGTGATAGTTTTCGCTGCATCCTTACTTTCTGTTGTTCATCCATATTCTATTTTTATTTGTCTTGTTGGGGACTTCCAGGTTGGCTTGGGAATCTCTCAACTACATTTTCGACGTACCGCTCGTTAGAAGCCCCATCCTTCGTTGTGTGTCGGTATGTCCCACATCATTCAGGAATACAACTAATCCTTCGATTATCTTTTTCAGAGATTTGAGAATACCAGCTGAACTGCCGTGGAGTGTCTCTGCTCGCGTTCGCCTGGTCAATTTAGGTAAAGCCTACACGGTAAGTTGACAGGCCAGTTATCGCTTATTTGGATCATTGCTCTAATGACACGTTAACCTGAATTGTTGGTGTCTTAGGCCACTGTTTTCCTCACGCCGTGTCCCAAAATTCGAACGCCGTGTCCCAAAATTCGACCTTCATGTCGCTGTTTAAACACTTTTTCAACGTCATTTTACGGTAAGTCTTGAGCTCGACAGAATTGATGGTATAATTGATTATTGGAAACTCGTTTTCAGACAAATCACACCAGAGGCTCGATGGTCTTCCGGTTTTATTCGATGAGACGCAATCCCATCACATGGAGGCGGACACGATGCACATCAGTCTGACTGTCACAGATCAGTTTCAACATGGAGAGCAGAAACAGGTTGAGAGGAAGGACGTTCCCAAAACGCGAATCTTCAGTGCAGCAAGTCGTACTCGACAATGGCTTCGTCGGTCTCTCGCTGAACAGATCTCGTCCCGTCGGACAAATAATCAAACGTTGCAATTAGAAGAGGGTCTTGAGCTGAATACGCCAAAAGTCTCACCAACGAAAAGACCACGGACAAGTAATAGCTTTTCGTATAATACAGATAGACGAATTTGGTTGGGGATCTATGACTCGAAGCTTCTATCAGAATTAGGTGACACTCCAACTTGGCTGATTTTAAGGGTATGTGACAGTCATCAGAGTGATTGTCGAACAGTCATCATGGTCGAACACAATGAGCTCTCTTTTCTCAGGCACATTCAGAAGTGACTCTAGCCTTGTCTTTAGTCCATAGCTGGTACGTCGTTCTTCAGTTTAAAAAATCATAATTATTCGTTATTAGGGTTATAGATCCTCATCGAATGAATGTGGATCGCGTCATGAAGGGAGAGGTAATGACGATTCATATATGAAAATATCGAAATATCGAAATATATGCTTATTCAATGACGCTTCATGATTTAATATGAAATATCGAAATATGCTTTAAAAGCATCATTGCTTTTTAACTATTATTTTAATTACAGGTCGCTCACGGAGAACGGACATATATGGTTGATTTGATGAATATTGCCAAAGCAGCACGATATCGAAACATTACCGCTCAGTGGCGTCGGACACCTTCCCATGGTTTGCCTGAACCGATTTTGAAAGAAATAGTTGATAATCCTCTCGTTCGATTAAATATCAGTTTCTCGTCGTTTACTGTCATTGAAGTGTGGCGTGTTGGTGTTTCGGTAAGTTGAAGGGGCGAACCCTTTTTTGCAAGAGAGGAGTTCCCTGCGATTGGTGATGACTAGGCGTTTTAATTTCAGATGTCTGTTGCGTTGGTCGGTCTCGCAGCAATTTGTTTGTCAGCGTTCAACAAAATGTTCATCTTCAACACCCTATTCCCTTATTATGATGCTGAACACCCTCAGAAGTTGCGTCTTACAATCTTTGCACGAATTGTTTGCTGCGGTTTTTTCGGATCTAATCACCCAGAAGTGCCCAAGAGACGATCGAGTTCAATACGGCCCTAACTCATTTAGTTTACTATCTTTTTTTGTTTTACTTGTTTTTTGCGCAAAGACTATTTGAGCTGTGCAACTTCAGGCCGAGTGCCAGATCGTTTTCAGGTCCAGTTGTTTGAATGATTGAGCTGATCGCAGAATTACGAGGCCATGACTCTCAAGTATGGACGGTTGTATGGAGACCGTCAAGTTCCCAATTGACTAGCTGTGGTGGGAAACGTATTCTCTTATGGTCTGATGAAGGAAAAAATCAATGGAAACTGAATGTAAGAGATCTATCACCATCAGCTATATCGTCCACTAATATCAGCTTCATTTGATATCAACTATGACTCCCAATCTTGACTTTATCTTCTGACTTTATCGTCTGACTTTATCCTCTGACTTTATCTTCTGACTTTATCTTCTGACTTTATCTTCTGACTTTATCTTCTGACTTTATCTTCTGACTTTATCTTCTGACTTTATCTTCTGACTTTATCTTCTGACTTTATCTTCTGACTTTATCTTCTGACTTTATCGTGCAATCTTTCTTGTAGTCCGTTATTTTCAACGATGAAAATGACCCAGATATGGATTTCTCCGAGATTTCTGGTGCAATGACGCATCTATCGTCACCATTGCCAAACCCTCAAATTTGCCAAGTGACGTTAGATTCTGTCCAAACATCGAATCCAGGGACGCACGAAAGAACTGTTCGCCATATATCATGGACTTCCGATGGTAACGCATTGGCAGCTGTTTCTTTCGACGCAACTGGATCTCTTTGGATCGAGGACCGTGAAAAAAAGTGGAAGTGTCGCGGAAAACTCGAAGGACACGAGAATGAAGTAATGCGTTTGACAGCAACGATGCTTCTGTGTGTTGATCGCCATAAAATGTTGATCGCCATAAAATGTTAATCGCCAAAAAATGTTTCTGATTGATTGATTGTCTCTGTTCTCCAAACGCTTTTTCGTTCGTTGAAAAAGTTTGTCTTTCCTGCTTCTAGATGAAGGCGGTTGCTTGGAGTCCATCACATCGCCAGCTGGTTACGTGCAGTCGTGATAAAACATTATGGATTCATTCGATCAGCAGTGAATCTGAATTAATGAATGAAGATTCCAAACTTGAGCTTCTTTGTAGCGCGGTCCTATCTGGGCATTCGCAAGGTAATAAACCGATGAATGAATAATAGAAGCCATTTTGTTTGTATTCCGTCAATATTCTACACATTCCCGTTTCTTCTCTTAAGATGTGAAACATGCGATCTGGCATCCCACACAAGATTTCGTTGTTTCTGCTTCTTATGATAACTGCATTCGTCTCTGGGCCCCTTGGACTGCCACAGCTCGTCAATATGGAGATGATGATTCAGATTGGGAGTGCGTTGCGACGTTGGAAAGTCACTCGTCGACGGTGTGGTGCGTTTCCTTCGCACCGAGTGGTACGTCAACACGCGCATCGATCACAATCAGGTTCAATCTGTCTTTCAGGGTTAGAGTTTGCTTCAGCATCGGATGACAGAACTGTTCGAATATGGACGTCGTCGCTCTGCAATCGCCTTCCCGTTGAATCTTCTGAAGAGTCTGCAAACTCTGTTGCGAACTCTGTTACAAACTCTGTTGCGAACTCTGTTACAAACTCTGTAGAATCTTCTCCCCTCACTGAAGCAAGGCGAGGAATCCATCCTTGGCTTTACGTTAATCCCGTGTTCCGTGCCGTAACATTGGTCGGAGCCGACAAGCAGACAGATAGACCGCCTTCTAAGACGAGCGTCGATGCCAGCGATATTCAAACGCAGGCGTCAGTACGAGACAGTCAATGGCTGTGCTCGGGTGTTATTGCTGGAGAACACGATCGGACGATTTACTCAGTTGCATGGCATCCTAAGCTCGACGTTTTGGCAACAGTAAGACAAACAAGATCCTGCAATTTTTCACTTTTTATTTTCAGGCTTGTGGGGACGATTCGATCAGGTTGTTTCGGCGATTGCGCGTTTTTAGTCAAGATGAAGCGGAATGGTCTCTCATGCATCGTCTAGCAGGAGCTCATTCCTCTGATGTCAATTCAGTGTCTTGGAAAACGACGCCCGAAGGTAAAAACATGTTCAACGCTATTATTGCAGTTGATCCTCACGATGCAATATTTGACGCTTTCCTATGCTTGACGCTTTCCTATGCTTGACGCTTTCCTATGCTTGACGCTTTCCTATGCTTGACGCTTTCCTATGCTTGACGCTTTCCTATGCTTGACGCTTTCCTATGCTTGACGCTTTCCTATGCTTGACGCTTTCCTATGCTTGACGCTTTCCTATGCTTGACGCTTTCCTATGCTTGACGCTTTCCTATGCTTGACGCTTTCCTATGCTTGACGCTTTCCTATGCTTGACGCTTTCCTGTGCTTGACGCGCTTTTTCAGATGATGGGTCCTGGTTGTTGGCTTCCGGTGGGGATGACGGCGTTGTGCGGATATTTAAATGTGATTTCTCTAACATTGAAACATGATGTAGTTTTCTCTTCAATTCCTTCCATTTGCTTGTTTTCGCTATTTGCTTGACTGCTGAGAAAATCATGTCACTATTATCGCAAGAAAAGCCTTGCACCAGCCATTGAGAGACAAGCAGCCGCAACGTAGGGGCTCAGACGGTCTCCAACAACTGCGAATCTTCCCAACATCCCTGGAAACCCTTGCCTTTTCGGGTCGATAAAAGTTGGCAGTCTGGACCTTAGATACGAGCAGCAGCAGATGAGAAGCAAAACGCAAGTAAGCATCGCCTGAAAATTAAACAGAGCTGACATGATCAGATCTTGATTTTTAAATGCAAATCAAAAGAGCGACGGAGTCTGTTTCCCGTTGTCTTAAAATGGGTGTTTGCAACAGGACCCTTCTGGGGGTTTCAGAAGACAAAAGGAAAAACATTCAGTCATGCATCGCGTCAGTCGACGTCCACTTGGCGGTTGCAGCGTGTTGTAGTTCCTGTCGTATTTCTGGTCCGATGCCCTTATGAAAATGCACTTTCAAAATTGCAGAAATGGCGCTCCGATGTTGTTGTGAGAAGTCATCTAAAAAATTGAAGCGTCGCGTGCATCAAGAAATCAAGTTCCACTCACATTTATAGCGCTGAACCAAAGTGAGAAGTGCACGATGCCAAACAACGGGGAGCTCAGCCGAGTGGTTCGCGAATGACGAGAAGTGATCAACGCAAGCGGTAACAGCAGTGATTGGGAGTGAACACTTCTTATTCAGCATGATGCACATAATATAGCTGGTTGAAACGGACCATTGCTGTGGATCTCCATGATGAAGATTGCAAATGCGGATCAATGAGGCTGCAATATGGAGGGGAGGAATTGTAACCTGAACAATTGCACAATTAATAAAGAATAATCAAAGAGTTGCAAATGCGGAACCTGCAAGGGGGTCTTCTACTTACTTTCGATAGAATACTTCCAAATATGACAGCTTCTCTTAATGTGCATTGATCTAGCAGCAAAGGCAACAAAATTCCTTTAAACCATGCAGCTGGTTTAAATAAAGCCTGAAAACAAACAACAATACTATTCCTAGCTGTAACACAGAACAAACTCACCTTCTTCAAGGCTTCATAGTAATGAAAATTCAACTTTTTATTCGTTGAAATGTCTTCTCTCACTGCTGGAAGTAAAACTAAGTTATAAAAGCGTTGCGCCATGCGTGGATTCAAATTAGATGCAAAAATTTTTGAGGCTTCATGCATCGCATTTGGAGTCCATTTAGTGGGTTCCGTCAAATAGAGTACCTGTTGAATCGAGTGAACAATATATTCGGAACGCATTGCCTCACCTCCTCCCAATTTTCCAACCGAGGAATAATTTTGAAAGCTTTTGGTAATTTTCCGCTTCTATATTTTGCTAAAAATTGGCCAATTGCGGTATAAACTTCTACAACTTTTGGAGAGGGTCCATCATCCTATAAAAACATAAAAGATGTTCGGTAGGAGGTGCGAGAGAACTGGCACCACGAATCAGAGAAGGCTGTCTGCACTCTTGTTCTATCTATAGATAACTAGAAATATCCTAGAAATTGACGCCTCTATAGGATATTGATTTGTGTCAATAGATAGAACAGACCTCGCTGGCCACATTTCCCGCTGATGCTTTCTTCTCTTCCTTTTCACGAATTTTTGACAAAATCAAATCTGCTAATGTTCTCGATTCCTCAATCCTTTCACTCGCAGCAATTCCATTCTTTCTTATAAATTGATTCATTTCCTCATTCTCGACTTCAATATCTGCCCATTCACTTTGGATCATTGCGTATCCATTCGAGTCGACCATTGGATCCCCCGCCCCTTCCTCCATTTGAATTCTAGAAGACAACAAATTAACGGTGAAGAGAATGAAACGTTCATCATGGACGAGAATCACGCATTTTGTCAAGAAAAACGCCTCTCCACTTCCGTCGTCTCGTCATTCGTATTTGGACCCATTGCTTCGTATTTGGACGCACTGCTTCCTCTCGTCTTACCCATCGAACTCATTTTGTTGATCTTCCGCTATTTTGAGTATCTTCGCAGACATCGCAGCATCAATCACATTTTCTTCTTCTTCATGATCCTCGTCGATGAGATCCGCTTCGGCAAGAGCTTTTGGGGGTCGAACGCCTCTAGTTGGATCCCTGCAACAATTTAACTGTCATTCATCAATTTGATGTTCTCTAATTCGCTAGACATCCATCCATTGGATCTACCATTGTCCCAAATATCCCAAAATCGACAAACTTACGAATCCAGCATAAGTTCTACATGAAGCGGGGTCCGTCGTACGCTCTTCAACTTGTTTTGTTTTTTTACCTTGGGCCTAAAAATAAGCGAAAAAGTTTGTCTGTCCCACGAATAAAAGAACTGGAGCCTACATTCTGTTGAAGACGCTCTCACGGACAAAAATCGATCAGATGATTGGGACAGAGGGAGCAGTACATGGACCAGGAAAATTGAGACCCTGCTTTTGGCGTGAAACTACAAAATCCATCATTCCGTCTTTCAAGCAGAAGACGAACATTTAAAATTTGTTGGTTGCGAATGTGACGATGGTTGCCAACCAATCGTATTCTCCACCCACATTTAATTATTCCGATTTTGTAACGATGAATCGGCATACCAAAATAAATAAGGAGTGGAAATTTGCTTAGCTGTTCTATGCGTGTCTGTCTCGCTCTTTCAGCATCAATCGCTTGAGAAACGACTTTTAAATACATGATGCGACAACCCACTAACGACACCTGCGTCGCACAACCCTCGTTCGAACAGTTCCGAGCCTTGAAAAAAAAACGCGACACAAAAAGTGTGTCGACTATCAGGAACAGACCAGGCGACCGATCAGAGCGTTCTTTATGCAGTCGTCTGGTAGACTCACACATTGGGGGCTGTTTTATGTTATTTCATTTTGTTTCTTATTCTCGAATTGCTTGATGCAGCACTATTTTTTTTGGGCAATTTCTATCCCCTCCTAATCATTCCGTGTCAGCAGCCTATGTATTACTTTTCCAAGCAGCTTTGTATGTTAGAGAATACGACGATGGTTTAAAAACGATTAAGGGAAATTTTGGGAGGGTGATTCTATTTTGTCGTTGATTTTCTCAAAGACCATCCAGATTTCACCAGCCGTTTCCTGTTATGCTTGGCGCATCTCTATAGCTCGAATCTCTAGATCTTTCTTTTGGAACAGGACCGTGAGATTTACCGCTTCAAAACACAATGTCGCCACTGACCGTCACCCTTCCATCCGATTTTTACGCTACCGACAAAGAAGACGGCGTTTCACAGAACCTCCATTTCCCTATTGTTTCGCCGATTCAACTTCTAACTGAGCGTCTCCGACAAACTCCGCTGGACGCTCAACGAATCGATGAAAGTCTTATTAGCTCACGCTTAAGCTTGCGTCTTCAACAGGCGCGCCAACTTGACGCTCGTTCCCGGAACCACACGGATTTAGCTCTTTGCGCGTACGTTCTCTGCGTTGGTTCCGGGTGCTTCAATAAGCCAACTGCGATCGGAGTCGCTCGGTTCGCCATGACGTACCACTTCATCTTAGAGCTTTATAAAGCGGTAAGGGCCGGAACGTTAGTCACTCTCAGCACGCTGTTTTTGTAGTGTCCGTGTCCGTCGACGATTCTTTCGATTGTCATTACGTCGCTGGCTCTGAACGCCCGGGTTGAAGCCTTGCGTCCGCAACACTCTCCGTGCGGACGTCAGAGGGAGAGAAGTCGGACAAATGGAATGCTTGGGGAGAACAGTGACGCGTCCCCAACAGGAGCGATGGTTGTTCATCCATCGAGCGAGACCGACACGCAGCGACCACTGCGTGCCGTCTCGTTCTGTCTCGCAATGCAACAGAAGAAACATCATGATTCGATCGAGTCGCTGGATCATTTGGACGAAGCACAGACGCTTCGTTTGAACGAGGCACACACTCTGCGTATCCCCGGAATTAACCACGTTGTCGATCAACCTGACAACGACGCTTCGAAGAAAGGTTGTCATATGGATGTTGATTCAATTGCAACAACGGACGTCCCGACGCCGTTCTCCATTTTGTCCTTCACCTCCTCCCCCCCCCACGCAAAATGTTTACCTGCCGCAGCTGAGAGTTCCGAAGAACCACCCCGATGGTTCGGCGGTGAAACAGCTCCACGCGCATCACTTTTTAATGGAGTCGATCATTTAGGATCACGACTCAATTTAGGAGTCTCATTCAGTCGACAATCTTTCGACTTTTGCTTCCGCATCATTTCCTATCTGTATTTGAGTTACGTTTATCTTGAAGATCGCCCCCAAACAACTTTAGTGAGAGTTGAAAAGGTTGACAGCATCCCAGACATGTTCCCGCGAATACATGAAGCGGATAAGAGTTCGCCCGTCAAAAGCGTTCTCTCTAGCGCAGGAATTCGTACGATTCGCACAGTCACTACGTTAGCGCGACGAAGAAAAGACAACATTAAAATCGTTGAAAATGTTCTGTTGCGACGACTGCTAAAGAAACTCTACTCTGGAAGCCAACTTGAAAGTTTCAGTTCTTGTCGTCATGATGGGGACTCGTCACTTCTCGAGTGTCCGTGGTGCTTGCTAACTGATCTATTGTGCTCCGACAGCCTTTCTGCCTCGAGTATGAGGTCGTCGATATCATTCAATGATGAATATGGCTTATTTGACACCAACTTTTGGGACACTGACGGCATCACAGAAGATCTAGAGATTCCACCCGCTCCTGCAGTTTTGGATACACAAACAGCTTCTCATTTAAAGGAAATCTCTGAAGATGCCCGCCGCAAATATTACAGATTTGATGATTTCCTAAGAAGCTGCAACAGGAATATTACCGCTGTTTTAAAGTCCCTCTCTTTCTCCCTTCACGTTACGCCGGACGAGTGGTCAGAACGCGTGTCGATCATTCTTCGAAGTTGTCCACATGGCGTTGAAGAACGGGCTTTAGAGATGATCAGCTCGATGCATCTTGGATTCGGAAATTTTTTATAGTCGATTCTCCAATTAACGGACTTCCTATTCATTTCATGTTCATGTTCAACTGTGTTCATTCATTTGGCATTCCAGCCTCGCTTATCGAATTTTGTCGGCATACTTCTTCCTTGCTCCATGTTGTGCATTGAATCATGTTCATGTAACGGTCCCTACACTATCGAATATCCATACCCCAATAATTAATTGGGTGTGGAGTATCTCTTCTATTGATTATCGCTGCTTTTTTCCAACAATTTTTCTTTGAACACAAACAAATTTCAGAAGTCTCTTGAAACAAAAGCCTCTCGCCTCTATTGTCTTGTAACTGCAAAGAGAGCAGCGTGATTCTGGAGCTGACATGCAAGCAACACACAACACAGAGTCCTTGCGTTCTCAAAATAAGTGAAAATATGATTCCACAATCGATTAACAGAAGGGGTGATTGCATGGTGTGTGCTTGATGATTAGAATCTCCCCTTAATCTGGTTTGCATTCTCCATTGCACAAAAAACAAAAATATAACGAATTTGTTCATCGAATGTTAGAGTGACGAAAAAATAAATTTTGAGGTTTTGTCAAATCCAAATCAAAATCTTCAACTCCAATTCGCGCAGCATTCAACCAGCTCCAACTCTTGATACTCAACATTTGTCAAGATGTCATTCCTTTGTCGTTTTCTAACAAGAGCTTCATCGTGTAGCGAGAGAGATTTACTCAAGAGATAGGCCGTGAATGCTTCACTTCCATCTACTTTGATGTTTTTTTCTCATACACCCTCCCAAGATATTCGAAACATTGGAATACACTTATCTCATCGTCGATAGGAGTGTACCAGCACGCCTCCACATCCTCTATTGCTCGTTGATGTGCAATGCTGATAGATTGTTGATTCCGATTCACGAAATAGACCTTCTTAAATTGAACATAACACTCTGTATCCCCTCCCGCGTTCATCAGCTCTTTAAGCTTCCACAGCATCCTATCATTGCGGAAAAATTGCCTCTTAATACAGTTCGACTGCGTTTTTACAGCATGATCGAAGTCAATGATTTGAATCTTTCCATTGACTCGAAGAAAATTCGGCGGACGGCAGTCTGTATGGAGGAATCCCATTGAGTGCCCTGTGAGAAAAATAACATCATGAGAGAATAACATCCAATGAATGACCAGGTGAGGGTGGTCCCTTATTTACCTGCATATAATTGATAGATACAATCTCTCGCGGCAACCTTCTTGGCAGCCTCATCTAACTTCCACCAGACAACCGTCTCCCCAACTGGTGCAAGTAATAAGCCAACAGCTCTTCTTCTCTTCATTGAAAGAAGCATCGACAACGATTTCGTTGCCCAATGTGATGAAGAATCATATGCAGAACAACAAATCTTCAAAACTCACGTTTTTGACTCTTCATAGTATTGAAGCTCTGTTAGGTTTCCCCCAGACTTCAAAAATCAAGTGCCCTCACTGTTGAACAATTGAGTTTTCATATTCAAAGTATACTAAAATATCTTCTTCGAACCAAATATCAATTGCCTTGAGCGGATTTGGCTTCCAACCGAACAACCCTTCATCATATAATTGTACAATCTGGGAATCGGATCCTTTTTTGTTGAAGAATATGAGCATTGATGTTTATAGTGAGTGCTTCTATGTAACAGGACATGTTATAATTGTTCTCGAGCCAATTCGGAATAACGCCACTTGCTCATTTCTGTGGCATATTTGCTTGGTATCCGAATCATAGAGCTGCTTCTTTAATTTGACGATTGTGACAATGTCCATCAGCCGAAATTTATCTTGTCCAAGTTGCTAGAAGAACAGCTTGCCTTTACCAGAAATCAAGATATCTGGACGTCCAACAACCATTACTTTGGGACAGACTCAAGTCAGTCATTGCAAGCTCACAAACAATGTCTCGAGTCTTTCCAGAAAGCAATTTTTTTCAAGACGTTCCATGGTTTTAGGAACCCTGAGCCTCCGCATGACGAAGCAGACATTTTTAATCAGCCGAATAATGGCAGAAGGAGACAGAAGCAAGGGACCAATTAGAGAAACGTTCGATAGGGGTTCGAGTCCCACATGGTTCCTTGTTCTTTTATTTCGTTTCCTTTTCATTGTTGAGAGTCAGTGCGTGCATCACGTACACCTCAAAAGTGTTCCAGCGCGAAAAGGGGCCTTGTGCTTGTTGCCGTGAGCCCGTGG